GCAGCAGAGCTGCGCTTCAGCAGCAGATGAAGTCAAAGGGCTGCTGCCGCTGCACCTCGCGCAGCGCGACGCCTCCAGCAGCAAAAGCAGCAGCAACAACAGCAGCAACAGCAGCAGCAGCAACAGCAGCAGCAGCGACAGCAGCAACAGCAACAGCAGGTCGTCCTTCGGTGGTGCTTGAGCGGCAGCAGCAGCTGCTGCTGCAGCGTCACCTACATCAACAGCAGCAGCAGCAGCAGCAGCAGCAGCAGCAACAACAGTTGTTCGCTTGCAGCAGTAGACACGGCACAGTCAGCAGCAGCAGCAGCTGCAGCAGGGCCGTTCGCCTGCTGCCGCGCCGCCTCATCAACGTCTCTTGGGCTGCAGCAGCAAGCAGCAGCAGCAGCAGCAGCAGCAGCAACAGCAGCAGCAGCAGGGTCTCGTGTGTAGCTGCTGCTGCTGCCTTTGTCTTTTTGTTTGTCTATACACACACAAAAACTTCATACAGCCCCCGCACCCACACAAACATATTTATTTATTTATTTATTTATATAAATTTATATCTTTATATGTATATATATATATATATATATATATATACGGAGAGAGAGAGAGAGAGACATATATATATATATATATATATATATATATATATATATATATATATATATATACATATAAATACTTTATCTACCATAAACCCTAAACCCTCCTAACCCCCTTAAACCCTAAACCCTAAACCCTAAACCCTAAACCCTAGATAGCCTGTATGAGTATTTGGTTTGAGGGTTGCAGGACGACAGCAGCAAGACGCCTAACCCCCAAAAGAAAGAGCAGCAGGAAGCGGAGGCCCAGGCCGCAGGAGTGAAGGGGTTGCTGCTGCAGCTGCTGCTGCAGCTGCTGCAGCAGCAACTCCTTGTACGCGCTGCGCTGCAGCCGCTGCAGCAGCTCCTTCTCCCCCCGCAGCAGCCAGAGACAAAGAGAACCCAATGCAGGCACAGACAGCAGCACCTGCTGCTGCTGCTGCTGCTGCTGCTGCTGCAGCAGTTGCTGCTGCTGCTGCTGCTGCAGCTGACTGATCAAAGGGGGATGCCGCAGCAAACCAAAACCCAGCAGCAGCAGCAGCAACGCAGCAGCAGCATCTTCTTTCTGCTGCTGCACACACAACAGACAGGGGGCCCCCATGGGGCCCCCAAACAGCCATCGGCTCCTAGGGCAGCAATAGGCAGATATACTCCTGCTGCTGCTGCTGCTGCTGCTGCTGCTGCTGCTGCTAAGCATCTCACACAGTAACTCCGTCTCTCTTCTTCGATGCTCCTGCGCCAACTCGCTGCTGCTGCTGTTGCTGCTGCTGCTGCTGCTGCTGTTGCTGCTTCTGGCCTTCGGGGCAGCTCTGCGCTTCAGAGCCGGCGTGGCGTCACCATGCTGCTGCTGCTGCAGTTGCTGCTGCTGCTGCTGCAGTTGCTGCTGCTGCAGCTTCGTGAACCGCTGCATAGTAAGCTCCTCTCCAAGCGAGAGCAAACGTCTTGCTGCTGCTGTCACTTCCCTCAGCTGCTGCTGCTGCACTGCAGCAGCAGCAGCAGCAGCAGCAGCAGCCGCTGTTGGCCGTTGCTTGCTGCTGCGTGCAGCACCTGCTGATGCTGCTGCTGCTGCTGCTGCCTCTGAAAGAGCAGCAGCAGCTGCTGCTCGCCGCCGCCTCCACTGCAGCAGATACCCCCGAAAGGCAGCAAGAAGCTGCTGCTGCTGCAGCACACCTTGCTGCTGCAGCAGCAGCAGAACAGAACGAAATATCTGCAGCAGCTGCAGCGGCAGAGCAGCAGGCAGCAGCAGCAACCTTCTTGTTGCTTCTTTAACTACATGGGGTTTGATATGCATGCCTTTTGCTGCTGCTGCTGCTGCTGCTGCAGTTTCTGCTGCAGCCTTGCGCTGCTGCTGCTGCAGCAGACGCTGCAGCAGCAGCAACCAGTCGCAAGCAAAGACAACAACATCCCCTTGCTGCAGCTGCGGGGTCGGCAGCAGCAGCAAGAAGGACTGCAGCAGCAGCAGCTGCGCGTACTGCTGCACCTCTGTCCTGCTGCTGCTGCTCCTGTATCCCTCAAGAGCTGCTGCTGCTGCTGCTGCTGCTGCACCCCGCAGCAGCCGCCGCCGTTTATTCTTACCAGTGCTTGCTGCTGCTACTGCTGCGGCTTCTGCTGCTGCAGTTGCTTCGGCTATGCAGCCGCAGCTGCTGCTGCTGCTGCTGCTGCAGGCTGCGCTGCTTGCAGCAGCAAACGCATCGAGCTCTGCCGCTTCAGCAGCAACAGCAGCAGCAGCAGCAGACGTCGGGGCTCCCCCTGCTGCTGCTGCTGCTGCTGCTGCTGCTGCTGCTGCAGGTGTTTCTGAGTCCGTAGGTCTTTCTAGTTGTACTCCAGCATCACTTGTTGCTGCTGCTGCTGCTGCTGCTGCTGCTGTTGCTGCTGCTGCTGCTTCGGTTTCTTCTGCCTGCCCTTCTGCTGAGGCGTTTGCTGATGGGCCCGTTACAGATATAACCCCGCTGCTGCTGCTGCTGCTGCTGCTGCTACTACTACTGCTGCTGCTGCTGCTGCGGCGGCGGCGGCTGCAGCTGCTGCTGCTGCTGCTGCTGCCGTCTGTTTGTCCAAGCTGTGCGTCGTCTTGCTGCTGCTGCTCCTGCTGCTGCTGCTGCTTCTGCAGTGCTTGGTGCAGTCCGCAGCAGCAGCAGGAGGTGCAGCAGCAGCAGTTGTCAACGTCTAGCTGCTGCAGCAGCAGCAGCGGGGCCCCAAAGTACTGCAGCAGCTGCTGCTCAAATGCTGCGCGTAGATGCAGCAAACGCTTCAGAGGATGACACCACAACAAACCGTGATGCGGCAGCAACTTCTGCTGCTGCTGCTGCTGCTGCTGCTGCTCGTCTTGAGCTTGTTTCTCCTCTTGTTGCTGCTGCTGCCCCTGCTGCTGCTGCTGCTGCGGCTGCTGCGGCTGCTGCTGCTGCTGGTGCTGCTCTCGACGCCGGCCGGGATTCCGTTGCTGCTGCAGCTGCAGTTCCTGTTGCTGCTGCTGCTGCTGTTCCTGCTGCTGTTGTTGCTGCGGCTGCTGTTGCTGCTGCTGTTGCAGCTTCTTTTGTCGCAGCAGCATCGCGCAGCTGTTTCTGCTGCCTCAGCAGCTGCCCTCTGAGCGTTTGCTGCCGCTGCTGCTTCTGCTGCTGCAGTGCTGCTGCTAGCTGCTACTGCAGCAGAAGGTGTTGCTGCTGCTGCCGCAGCAGAAGGAGCTGCCGCAGCAGCAGCAGCCCTCTTGCTGCTGCTGCTTCTATAAAATAATATATTATTAATTACTCTGCTGCCAACTGCAGCAGCAGACAAACTCAATGCGACGTGGGGGCCCCCCGGGGGCCCCATATCAGCTGCCTGCGGCAGCAGCAGCGGCAGCCGCAGCAGCAGCAATAGCGGAAGCATAAGGTTGCTTCTACATTAGAAGCATCTATAGAAGCGGATCTGCCT